TGTTGAGGGCTTTCTTCTTTGTTGCTGGCCCTCTACTTTACCACACACGATGTCCTCCCACAGGGACTGGTCTGGTCTCTCCTGACAGAGCCAAAGGATGTGAAACAAAGTCTCACCATCCTTGCTTCTGAGAAGCATTCTGGCTGTACTTCTTATCAAGACGGTCCTGCCCATTCTTTGGAGCAGTACATGGTGCCCTCAGTATTCTTCGCCAGCACCATGCTTCAACGGTTCTTCTTTATTCCTTATTTATTTACTTATTTTACTTTAAAAATAAATACCCAGGGCTCAATAGAAAGTAAGTGTCTTCAAAATAATGATGGCAACATAGGTACAAATATGCTTGATACAGTTGATGTATGGATTGTTGTAAGACCTGTAAGAGCCCCCAATAAAATGATCTTTAAATTAAATAAATAAATGCTCTTCTTTATTCAATGTCCAACTTCCTTTTTTATCATTTAATTGGGGGCTCTTACAGCTCTTATCACAATCCATACATGCATTCCATGGTGTCAAGCACATTTATACATATGTTGCCAGCATCATTTTCAAAACATTTTCTTTCTACTTGAGCCATCACACTTGATCTTAGCCAAAAGACCAAGCCAAAAGGCTTAAGTAGACATGAGCCCTTGGTATCAGCTCATTTTCCTCCTCCCCCACCCTCCCTTCCTCACGAACCCCTAATAATGTATAAATTATTTTTTCTTTCATGTCTATGCCATAGTCCCTTGGTCTGTTTGAACAGCTACCTCTTGGTCTATGTACATGTTCTGCATGAGCACAATTCATTTGAATTATGGTACTGGCCAAGAATAGCGCACAATTAAGTGCTCTACAAATCCCAGGCTTTTCAACATTGTTCATAATTTGTTAGGATCCCCACAATAGAATGTCTTTGCATAACCGTCTGATGTCAGCGAGGATACCCATCATTCCCATGTCCTCTTATGAATCTGGCAGGAATTTCAGGCAGCTTGCTGTCCTGGTATTGCTCCAACATTTACATAGTTTTTTTTTCCTTCAGCAAGCTTTTACTTATATGTGATATTACTAATGATATTTGATCATTCCAACACATTTTGGGCTCACCTTTCTTTGAAAGGAGCACTAATGGGGATCTTTTCCAGTCACTGAATCCAGGTGTGATAGAGTCGAGGTTGTATGTAGGCTCATGTGGATTTATTTTCATTTTCATCAGTTGCCCTTTAACTTTCATAAATGCAATTGATGGTCTCTTCCAACATTGGCCTCTGCCTTGTTTTGGCTGATGTTATTGAGCTTCTTGATCATCTATTCCCACAGATATGATTCCTGAGTATTCCATCTGGTGAGGGCCATGTGTACACCAGGCTTTTGTGTTGTTGGAAAGGATATTTACAGTGCAGAAGTCTTTGGTCTTGCAAAGTTCTGTCACTCAATTCCTAGCATCATTTCTATCACCAGGCCATATTTTCCAATGACCGATCCTTGCTCTTTGTTTCTAATTTCCACACTCCAGTGAACAGTAATCAATGCATCTTGATTTATGCTTAATCAATAGTAGAAGTTTGTGTAAAATCTTCACTTCCCCATCTTTGGTATTAGTGATGGATGAATAAACTGGACCAGTATTCATATTAATGGATTTTCTTGTAGGTATACGAATATTATTCTATCAATGAAACATATACTTCAGAATAGATCTTCAAAGGTTTCCTTTGACAGTGGATGTAAAACTCTCTCTCAGGACCAGATTACCCAAAGAGCACCACAAGGAAGTCCACAATTACCTTGTTGACTGGGTTATCTGACACTGCCTTTCATCTTCAACTTGTCATTCCGGCCGTAGTAGACTAAGTGATGGTCTGATTCAAAGGCTAACACCAGTGCATTTCAACTCACTGGTGCCTAGAATACTGATTGCTATGCTTTCCATTTCATATTTTGACAACTTCCAATGCTCTTGGATTCATACTGCATGCACTTCGTGTTCCACTTATTAATGACTATTCACAGCTCTTCTCATTTTGAGTCATGAGTGCCACATGAAGGTCTCTAAAGCTTTACGCTAACCACACCTTTAAGGTCCACTCTACATCAAAGAAGGAGTCATGGTGGCACTGTCTGGTAAGCATTGGACTACTAACCACAAGGCCAATGGTTTAAGCCTACCCACTGCTCCAAGGGATGTTGCTAAGGCTGTCTCCTCCCTGAAAGATGTATAGCCTCAGAAGCCCAGTAGAGGGTCTCCATGGGTTAGAACTGACTCAATGGCAGTGGGAACTACTGTGATGAGGCAGATATTTCCCAGTTGTACTTGGAGTGTCTTCCTGCCATGGGGACTCCTCTTCCATCACTGTAACAGACAGCATGCTGCTGTTGTCCTTAAGGTTCTCAGTGACAATAGATCCCCAGGTCCTTCTTCCCAGTCTGTCTTAGTCTTCAAGTTCAAATTAAACACGTCCACTGTGAGTTAGTTGCTATTTGTATTAGTCTGTATACTTTAGAGAAACAAATCCACAGAAACTCATGTATAAGAGAGAGTTTTATATAAAGGTTAAGTGTGCATCAAGAAAACATCCCAACCCAGTGCT